GAGTGGCAGCCGAACGCCGGCCTCAAAAGCCGAACGCTCAGTATGAAGCCGCATCTCGCTCAGTTCACAACGTCGCGGCTGATGATGCGTTTTCTTAATATATGTATGTATGCCATTTTTAAATCCTTACAGCCCAAAAACGTATATGTGTATGCATGTGCCTCGCTCTCAATCATTGCTTCGCGCACTTGCGTCCATCTCTTTCTCCCTGCATAGCTTCCCACAAAACCCCGAGATCTACAAACATTCCTATGTTTGTGTTGTGTGGATGTGCGCACAAGTAGATCACGGCGTTTGTCGCGAGCCACAGGTTACTTCCTCAATTGTGTGCCTTTTGTGCCTGTGGTAGCAATAGGCACTCACATTTAAATGCTCTATCATGTATTTCTTCGTCCAGTCAGGCATGATGAGAAGAATTTGATCTAATTTTATATAATACACAATTAATTGACCTAAATAAAATATTTATATTTATTTTCTGCTTACTGTAGGGACATATTTTGCTTAAAATACAGTCAGGCATGATGAGAAGAATTTGATCTAATTTTATATAATACACAATTAATTGACCTAAATAAAATATTTATATTTATTTTCTGCTTACTGTAGGGACATATTTTGCTTAAAATACAAAAATATCTAAGTCGTATTTCTGCAAGGGTAATTCATCGTCGGCTTGTAAGAATTTTCAGAAAAGACCAAAATTTGACAATATTCAATTTTTGCGACTTGCTGCTTGTGCACATGCACACTCACTCGAAAGAGTGGCAGTTGTGTGATATTATTAAAGGGTTTGGCCTGTTCATGTGCAAAAATGCTATTTTCCATGCTTGTTGTAAGGGTAAGGGTACCTGATCGCTGGCATGTGTGCATGGTCTTTTCTGAAAATTCTTACAAGCCGACGATGAATTACCCTTGGTATACATTGTATGGTGAGTGGTATAAGGGTATATCGTATTTGTGCAAAGACCAAATGTATGTAACAGGCAGAAGGAAGCATCCCCGACCCCATAAAGTATATATATTCTTGATCGGCGTTAATAGCCGAGTCGATCTAGCCATATCCGTTCGTCTGTCCGTATGTATGAACGCAAGGATCTCAGAACCTATAAGAGCTAGAGACTTAAAATTTTAGATGTAGGTGCTCCTAGTGCCTGCGCAGATCGAGTTTGTTTCCGATAATCGATAACTTATTCTGTTTCCAAGCCATCGATAAAAATCGACATCCTGTTCTGTGGGCAATTTTGGTAAATAGTAAGAGCTAGAGTCACCAAACTTGACATGTAGCTTCTAAAATAGTACATATATTTGCATTTGGTGTTGGAAGAAGAGTTTTCAGGGTATCCCCTGGTCGGGAGCTCCCGATTAGAACCTCTTACTTGATATTATAATAATTTTCCTCATAGTCGCCCTCCGTTTGTGCTACTTGTTTTAATTTCAAATAAGTGGATATGTCGTATCTCACAAGTGACATAAAAAGTCCATCTGGTGGTTTTTATACCCTGAACCCATTAAAAATGGGTAAAAGGGTATATTGTATTTGTGCAAAATGCAAATGTATGTAACAGGCAGAAGGAAGCATTTCCGACCCCATAAAGTATATATATTCTTGATCAGCATCAATAGCCGAGTCGATCTAGCCATGTCCGTCTGTCTGTCTGTCCGTCCGTCCGTATGCATAAAAGCAAGGTTCTTAGAAACTATAAGAGCTAAAGAAATTTTAGCTGTAGGTCCTCCTAGTCCATGCGCAGATCGCGTTTGCTTCCGATAATCGATAACCTACTCCGTTTCCAAGCAATCGATAAAAATAGATATCGAAATCCTGTTTTTGAGCAAATTGGGTTAATAATAAGAGCTAGGGTCACCAAAAGTGATATGTTTACTCTAGAATAGTATATATATATATATATATCAAGTATCTTTTAGCTATAAATCAAGTTATATTGCCAACCCATTTAAGCCACAATTATTGCAATGCAATAGACTTCCATGCTACAATAAGATATACTGTAGAAAATTTCATTAAGATCGGTTAAGAAAAAACCAAAGTTATATGTAACTGCGCAATTGGATGGGCAGCTAGCGAAAACATCAATGCAACAACTGCATTTGGTGTTGGAATAAGAGGGTTCAGGGTATTCCCTAGTCGGGAGCTCCCGTCTAGAACCTCTTACTTGGCTTGCATTAACATAGGGTGTAATGAAAAAAAAGGAAAAATGCAATTTTCCCAGAAACTGCGCTATTAAGTATTACTTAATACTTCTCGTATGATTTGCTTTGACTTATTAATTTATTTAATTGTGAGTTCTTGCCGTTTTTTCATGACTACATATAATTCAAACTGATTTGATTCCCGCCCAATTCTGTACAAAATTGTTCAACACTGATCCCAGGCAGTTCGTGTATGCAGTTCGATAGACTTTATGAATTAATTTTATAAGATTGGTTTACAATGAATTTATTTTCTCAAAATCCTAAAGCCTAAAGCTTCCTAAAATATGTATCTACAAGAGGGTGTAGCATGCATTGAGGGCAATTGTCTCTGAGTTAAGAAATAAGGGCTCGAAAACAAAGTTTTCCGATAGCAAGTACTAAAATTCGACGCTAATAGCCTCTGTCCACTGGTTAAAGAAATGTCACATTTTCCAATTTCACATATTGGTGTTCCACCCATTGGCGGAAATCATGTGAGTGGCAAAAGTACCGCTTCTTTAAATCAACAGCTGATCGAGTTGCTTTAATTTACATAAGCGCCGTAGAGTTTTTCTTCCAAAACTCAAAAATTGCGAAGTAAGGGCTCAATTTCAGGTACTCATTTTGAGATTTTGCCATGTTTAAATTTAAACAAGTAAGAGGTTCTAGTCGGGAGCTCCCGACTAGGGGATACCCTGAACCCTCTTCTTCCAACATCAAATGCATATATATATTCTATTATAGAAGCTATTTGTCAAGTTTGGTGACACTAGCTCTTATTATTTACCAAAATTAACCAAAAAACAGCATATCGGTATAGATTTTTATCGATTGCTTGGAAACGGAGTAAGTTATCGATTATCGTAAACAAACTCGATCTGCGCGGGAACTAGGAGCATCTACATCTAAAATTTCTCTAGCTCGTATAGGTTCTGAGATCCTTGCGTTCATACATACGGACGGACGGACGGACAGACAGACGGACATGGGTAGATCGACTCGGCTATTTATGCTGATCAAGAATATATATACTTTATGGGGTCGGAGAAGCTTCCTTCTGCCTGTTACATACATTTGGCTTTCGCACAAACACAATATACCCTTATACCCATTATTAATGGGTTCAGGGTATAAAAAAAGGGCTTCCCCGCGGTGCTAACATCACACAACGACTTATGCTACTTTCATTTGATGTAATAACTTGTTTGTTAGTTTGTTGTCGGCATTGCAAATAAAAGCATCAATCTGAAGCGTGTAAAGTATTGCGAAAAAATATTCAGTCGAGTTTCAGTTAAATTATAAAAAATTTGTGAAACAGTTGTTGTTTTTTCGTAAAAGAGTTCTGACAAAATTATTTTAAGGTGAATAAGTACCTTTCTTTTAAACCTAATTTATATGTGTGTAACTTCACTTAAATGCAAATAAATTTTTGAATTTAGCCACAAAAATGCCATATGAAAAAAGATTAAAACGAAAATTGTTATCCATTGAATTGAAAATACAAATTTTGGATCGATTTCAAAATCAAGAGAGGATAGGTGGTATTGCCAAACATTTTAACTTAAATGAGTCAACAATAAGAACTATCAAACAACACGAAGAAAAAATTAAAAGTTCGGTAGCATCTCGATCCTCTGTCGTCGCGAAAGTAACTGCTCGACCTAGACCGCAGATAATGGAGAAAATGGAGCAATCGCTTATGGTGTGGATAGAAGACATGATAAAAAAACGATTGCCCTTAGATGGGAATGTAATTAAGCATAAAGCACTAAAAACATTTAATTATTTAAAGGAAACAGGACAATCGTCAATCGATGAGGACAATCATCAATTCGTAGCTAGTAATGGATGGTTTAGAAAGTTCAAAAAAAGACATGCACTTCACAATTTAAAAATACAGGGAGAAAGTGCATCCGCAGACGCAGACGTTCAGGACACTTTTTCTACACCAATAGAAGATGAATATAGGAACATAGTGAGATTGGCGCATGCAGTAGAAGGTGAAGGATTTGATGTAATGACAATGGCTGATATTCAAAAATTAATTGCGGACGACGAAATAAACGAAGCAGATTTAGTGGCAATGACAAATGAAGAATCAGTTGGAGATAACTCTGACGATCTTTCCGATGTTGAAAATAAAAAATATCGAAAATGTTTTAATTATGGCAAAGCAGTTGGAAGAATACATTTTGGAGAACGACCATTTGGGTGACAGAGCAGAAATATTTAAACGAAATCTTCAAAATAATTTAGCTCCCTAACAAGAAATTTATAAAGATTTGCGAAATAAGAGCAAACAAACTACAATGAACGATTTTTTCAAACCAATCATCGTGGAAAGGATGCCCGAATCTGATAGTGGATCAAGCTCAGATTTTGAACTAGTACGAACAAATCGTTCGAAACAAATCATACTAAGTGATGAGGAGGAGTAGAAAATAATCGTTCTGTTTTGGCTTTAATTTATTAAATCTTTCAACTTGAATATTTTACGTAGAAATTTTATTTTATTTTATTTTTTTTATTTTGTTTTGTTTTTGTTAAAATAAATGTAGTGTTTTTAAATTACAAAATATGTATGTTCTTATGACTCAACAAATAAATACATAAAATTATATTAAGCACATATATTTACTATACAAATTCCAATATTTCAGTTTTTCAGGAACCTATTCACCGCGTTGTAGGAGGTTTACCTGTGCTTCGAATTAATTTGTTCCCGTTTAATGCCATATATTATATTATTATTCAGCACTGAATCTTAGCAGTGGTTCAGTTCCTGGGAACTAGTTGTGAAACGCACCTCTTTGTTAAATAACATGAGATCAATTATTTGTCCTAAAAACTGGCTGTTCAATTTATTTTAAATTATGGCTTAAAGCTTCCTAAAACATGTAAGCGTCATTATCGTGTAGAATAGATTTTTGGCTTCAACAGCAATGCTAATTTTTTACGGTGACTTTGGGGTTAGCTAAAAGATTGGTTGCACTGATATACCAATGTCTCAAAACGTTCTCATCGATTATTTGGGCCATTAATATTAACCCCTTGGCTTCTATATATGTAAAGCTACATTATTTAAAATATTTAAAACACACGGATATAGACAGTAAATATTTTATTATTTTACAATGAATTAATAAATGTGTGGGCTGCGGAATCAAGTTCCGAAAATCAACGCACATAGATCGGCCAAAAAATATAATGGTGAGTAGAATTGAAATTTTTTATTTGCTTGGTTATGTTTCCTTTTTAATTCCCTAAATAGATTAAGGTTCTCGTGAGACTTAGTTTTGTATTGTACTTTTACCATGCCTTTGGATTAATGCGAAAATTGCCCGCACCAAATGTGCTTTTAGTATTGAGTGATGATCAAGATGTAGAACTACACGGTGTGTATCCACTTCAACAAACTTGGAAACTTTTGAGCAAGTATGGCACAAAATTTACCAATGCCTTTACTAGTACGCCGATTTGTTGTCCTGCGCGAGCAAGCCTATTAACTGGACAGTATGCGCACAACCATAGGACAATCAATAATTCATTAAGTGGTGGCTGCAATGGCCTTTACTGGCGTAAAAGGTTCGAGCCACGCTCATTGCCTATGCTGTTACAGAAGAATGGCTATCAAACATTCTTTGCTGGCAAATATTTAAACCAATTTAAAGGCGCTGAAGTTCCTCACGGCTGGGATGAGTTTTATGGCCTTCACGGGAACTCTCGTTATTATAATTATACACTGCGTGAAAACACAAAAAATGTGAGCTTTACGGATGTATATTTGACAGACCTGTTGAGGGACAAAGCGGCAGCATTTATTCGTAATTCAACAAGGAATCATCATTCAAAACCATTTTTTGCAATGGTATCTCCTCCAGCCGCTCACGCACCCTTCACACCAGCCCCGCGTCATGAAGGGGTATTTTCTCAAGTGCGAGCGTTGCGCACTCCTAGCTTTAACGCTCCCGATAAGAGTACGTATGTAGCATTAATCTATACTTATGCTAATATTCTTTCCATAGATAAACATTGGTTGGTCAGGTCAGCTCAACATTTGTCAAATGACTCGGTTTTCACAATAGATAAGTATTTTCAGAGGCGGTGGGAAACGCTGCTAGCGGTTGATGAAATGATGATGACTTTGGTAACAGTGCTTAATGAAACCCAATGCCTTGACAATACTTACATCATCTACACTTCGGATAATGGTTACCACTTGGGACAATTTGCGCAGCCCTTTGATAAACGACAACCTTATGATACTGACATCAAAGTTCCATTACTTATCCGTGGACCAGGCGTACCGGCTGGCCGCTTGATGGACATGCCTGTCAGTTTGGTAGACCTAACGCCTACCATACTGGAATGGGCCGGCTTGCCGGTCCCAAATTATATAGATGGTCGCTCTTTTAAAGGTGAGTTGCTACAGGTGCAACAGAAAAATAAAAAGCAGCAATTTTCCAAACAACGTGTATTGCTCATTGAGTATTGGGGTGAAGGAAACGATGATACATATAATCCGGCTTGCCCAGGACATCGTTCTGACCATTTAGCGCAATGTACTTCGGATGCAGATTGTCATTGCCAAGATTCATGGAACAATACATACACGTGTATTCGTGATTTTCGGTACAACCTCGATCGCATCTATTGTGAGTTCCGGGATACTGAGGTAACTAAGTGAAATTATAAAATGTATAATACGAATCTTTTACGTTTTAATTACTTATAGAACTTTCTTGAGGCATATGATTTGCACCAAGACCCCTATCAGTTACAAAATATCGTTTACGAACTACTTCCTATCGAACGAGCACTATATGGACTTTTACTTCAAAACCTTACGAAATGTACTGGCAAAACGTGCAATTTTTGATTTGTTTTTTGCTGTTGAAATTTAATCATGCGCATGTTCTAAATATAAGTCAATATCAACTGATTACAATGAACTATAAAGTTTTCCTAACAGCTCTCACACGTTGCAGCTGCATTTCAAAATTCAAACAAATTGTTCGGCTGAAATTGTGCTTGATGTGCCAGACCGTTGGGTATGTATGTATACCTTAATGGGCACAGCTATGAGATGTTACATATATGAATGAATTTTCATAACACTGCTCACTTTTGTAATTTTTCCATAATCTTTTTGATTACATTCTAAGTAATGCTGCTTTTTCATAAAAATCCCATTGTTGGTATGGTTGAAAAGTATGAGGCGATGACAACTACTTCGGTCGGTTAAAGTAACCTTTATTTCTATATTTTTGTAATGTTATTATATTGCTTTTTTCATTAAACCAGTAAAAAGTGTAAGCCGGCATCGGGTATCAGTAGAAGAAGGTTCAGGGTATCACCTAGCGGGCAAATACGACTAGAGCACTCTTATATTTTAAATCCGAAAATTAGCCTTTGTGTTTGCTGGAATTGCTAAAGCTGCTACGTGCCGGAGCTGTTAGAACTACTAAATCCCTCATTGTAGTTATTATAGATATTTATTTTTCATTTCATTTTTTTATGCCCTGAAGTATTGAAAATGTGTATAAAGGGGTATAATATATTTTTGAAAAGGTATGTAACAGGCAGAAGTAAACATCTCCGACTCCATAAAGTATACACAGTTGCGAAAAAAAATAGCACTCCACAAGCAATTTTTAAGAAGTTGCCACACCCACATTTTTAACATTAAGGAAACTTGAATCACATTTTTAGAAAGGGAAGACTCACAAACAACTGACAATAAAAAGAAAATTATCCTATTGCTTAACGTTTTATTTAACAAACATTGCTAAAATTAGGCGCAACAAATAATAGCACCACTTTTCAAAAATCGATTTAAAATAAAAAAAGGCCAATAAGTAAGGAATTCATTAGTTAAAAATTTTGAACTATTAATACTAAATCAATATTTATCATTTAATATTTAGTACAGTGTCCTTAATTAACAAGAACAGCTGCACAGCGTCTTGGCATGGAATCAACTGAGTTCTGGCATCGTTTTAGGGGAATTTTGGACCAGAACTCTTTAATTTATTCCCAAAGTGATCCGATAGTGGTTGGTTTGGAAGCAGCAACTGCCTTCTTGACGTCGGACCACAGATTTTCAAATGGATTCAGGTCAGGCACCCCTCTCCAAAACGTTCCCAGAGTTTGCCCTGAACCATTCCTTTGCTTTCCTACTGATGTGTTTGGGTTCATTGTCCTGTTGAAAGACCTATACGAGGGACATTTCGTATTCTGCAAAGGCTAGCATAAGTGTCTCCATGATATTCACATACACGTGATCCATGATGGTTTTATCCAATGTATTATACCTACTCCATAGTAGCAAACGCAGGCCCATACGACTACTCTACACCCTCCATGCTTAATGGGTTTTGGGGTGTACTGAGGTTTGTATTCTGTGTTCCTTGGATGTCTAACGATGATCGAGAACCCTTTTCACCAAACATAACCACTTTGGACTGATCTCACCATAGAATATTCCTCCATTGTTGGGATGTCCAATTTGCATGATTCCTGGCAAACTTCATGCGCTTAGTAATAGGTGTCGCGTTTAAAAGTGGAACCTTTCGTGGTTTGCAGTCTTCAAGGTTATGTTGCCTAATATATTAGCGAACTGTTTGTGCCGTCACATTTATGTTAAGCTCTTTTTTAATCTCGGTAGCAGGCTTGAAGGGATCCTTCGTGCTCTGACGAATCAGTCTTTTGACATGAAGAGGGCTCATAGATCGTTATAATCCGCGTGTTTCAATAATTTTTTGATAGTTTAAGATTCTTTAATTATTTTATTGGAGCATCCTACAAATTGACCAACTTCTCTGTAAGTTTTTCCGTCCAATATCAATTTTTTGTTAAGATCGCGCTTCTATGCAGTGCAGTGCTTTCCACGCTCTATTGTAATGATTATTATTGACTTTTATGACAGAACAAATATTCTATTTTTTCTGCATTTTTTGAGGCTTTTTTCTTAAAATCCCCAAAAATAGACAGAAATTTGAAGAACGCTAGCACTGTTTTTATACCCTGAACCCATTAAAAATGGGTTTAAGGGTATATTGTATTTGTGCAAAATCCAAATGTATGTAACAGGCAGAAGGAAGCATCTCCGACCCTATAAAGTATATATATTCGTGATCAGCATCAATAGCCGAGTCGATCTAGCCATGTCCGTCTGTCTGTCCGTCCGTCCGTCCGTATGTATGAACGCAAGGATCTCAGAACCTATAAGAGCTAGAGACTTGAAATTTTAGATGTGGATGCTCCTAGTTCCCGCGCAAATCGAGTTTGTTCCGATAATCGATAACTGACTCCGTTTCAATCGATAAAAATCGATAAATCGATAAAAATCGATTTCGACATCCTGTTTTTTTTAGCAAGTTGGGTAAATAATAATGATATGTTGCTTCTAGAATATTTTAGATATTTCAAGTAACTTTATTTCATACCTATCGCCACCTCCCCGCTACCACCTCAGAGCTATAAATCAAGTTAATAACCCAACTTTTATTGCCAACCAATTTAAACCACAATTTAAATGCAATTGACTTTTTCAGAATACACAAATATTCTATGGTACAATAAGATATACTGTAGAAAATTTCATAAAGATCGGTTAAGAAAAGCCAAAGTTATATACGCAACTGCGCAATTGAACGGGGCAGCAGCTTTAAGAATTTCTGTATACATGTGCATTCTAATAACATGGTAATTGCATCTTTTTTTTGTAATGTTATTTTAGTTCCTTTTTTATCATAAGTACTTAATTGTTGGTGTGGCTGTTGAGTAGAGGCATAGCAAGTGGTGCGGTCTGTCGCGAGTTCGAGCCCCGCCAAGGGAACTTTTTTTTATTAATTTTTTGGTGTTGTAATAAGAGGGTTCAGGGTGTCGGGAGCTCCTGACTAGAACCTCTTACTTGTTGATTATGGGGAATACTAAACAATATAAAAAAATTCAAATTTAAAAAAAAAAAAAAAAAATGTTTTGTAGTTGAGCTATTATATTTTTCACAGCTGTATATTCTTGCTCAGCATCAATAGCTGAGTTGATCTAGTCATCTCTGTGCATCCGTCCGTCCGTCCGTATTCTTATTTTTTTTATTTTATTTTATATTATTTTATTTATTAATGGTCGATCAACAAGTGTCTTCCTCATTATTCAATAGATTATATAATAGATAATAGAATTATATGCTAAAAGCCTTGTTAAAGAATACAATTTACTTCATAGAATCACCGACCGATGGAGGTGTTTTATTTGCCAGCCCGGCCAGCTGTGCCCCTTTTCACAGCTAATTTGTCAGTGACGCTATTAGAGCCTACATCTTAGCAGAAGGTTGTAAGTAGGAAAAAAGTGTTCTTAAGTAAAATTAAAAATAATCTTAATTTGCTATATTAATAAAGAAAATACAATAAATAGGAAAAAAGAAATTAAGAAGATTATTAATAAAGTAAAGCCATGTAAGTTAGATAAAGAGTGTTAAGTAGATAGGACAAAGAGAAAAGGAATGGAAAATCACCGACCCGGTGGGGGGAAATTTTTCAGCCTGCCCGGCAAGCTATGCCCCTGCTCATAGCTGGGAATGGTCAGCGACTTCCCGAAGGTATCCTGAAAGCAACGATTTTATTAGGGGTAGAGACAGTTCGGTAGAGAAAACGTGATGCAAACTATTATAATTTTTACATAGCACGCGAAAAGGTTTGTGCATAGGGTAGTCTGTTGTGCACGTAGATAGGAATAAGGGGCGATTATTTCTGGTTGGTCTAGCCGGGACAGAGAATTAAAGACGCTCTAGCAGAAAAGGAGGATCTATGTCGCTAATAATCAACTTATGTATAAGGACAACACCGAGAATTGTGCTATGGTTGTTTAACGCGGAAGGTTGAGAAGACGCAGTCTGCTGGAGTAGGATGGCAACCGAAGATTAGGATCCCAATTTAAACCTCGTAAGGCAAAAAGCATAAATTGCTTCTGAACAGATTCAATACGATCCTGGCTATTGTTATACTGTGTAGACCAAATGCAAGAACAGTATTCAAGGATAGGGCGAACAAGAGAGATGTACAGAAGTTTTGTTATAAAAGGATCGTTAAACTCTTTAGACCATCGTTTAATGAATCCAAGTAGACCTTTTGCCTCATTAACGATGGTATCTATGTGAAGATTGAAACAGAGTTTAGAATCAAACAGAACGCCTAGATCCTTAACTGTTAGTATACGTTGCAAAGGGATATTGTCGATTGTATAACTGACAAGATAAGGTGTAGTACGATTAAATGTCATAAACATACGCTTTGAACAATTTAGATGTAATTGATTGGCCAAAGTTGCATAGCGTTTAAATCGTCTTGTAGACGAGAATAATGTAGGGGATTAGTGTATGATAGAAAAAGTTTGACATCGTCCGCATACATGAGTACACGGGCATGTGATATAACAGAGGGGAGATCATTTATAAAAATAGTAAAGAGTAAAGGTTCAAGATGACTACCTTGAGGAACACCAGAAGTAACGTGAACCCGTTTAGAGGTAGTCAGCCTCAGCATTACTCTTTGGGTCCTACCTTTTAAATAAGAATTAATCCAAAGCAAAAGAGATGGAGGGAAACCTACTCGGTCAAGTTTAAAAAGTAAAATGTCATGGTGCACAGAGTCAAACGCCTTACTGAAGTCGGTGTAAATGACATCATTTTGCATTTTCGAAAGGAAAGCATAATTTACCAAGGAAGTAAACTCAAGCAGATTGGTCGTAGTTGACCGATTCTTGACGAATCCATGTTGAACAGGGGAAACAACTGATTTGCAGAAATGCTGCAAATTCGAAGTGATTATTTTTTCAAAGAGTTTAGGAATAGCGGACAATTTTGCTATGTCCCTGTAACTTCCCACCTTTCTTGTGAAGAGGAATGATATAAGAGTCTCAAGAGTCTAAGAGTTTCAAGGGATAGATTAAAAAGCTTTAGCAATGGAAGGAGGGAAGAGGTACACTCCTTGAGTAGACAATTAGGAATATTGTCCGGCCCAGGAGAGTAAGAAGATTTTAAAGAGTTTATAGCTAATAGGAGAGAGAATTGTGAAATAATGGGAGGAGGTATAGAACTAGCGGAAGAAATAGTATAGGGGTAAGATTTATTATTATTATTAGCCTTATCCATCCCGAGAGAAAAAGAAGATGGCAAACTTGAAGATTTACGCTTCAAGTTTACAAAATTATAAAACTGTCTCGGACCTTGGGCAAATTGCCTTTTACAACGAGTTAGATAATTCTCATAGCATTGAGAATTAAGAAGAAAGAAGTTCGACTTGGCTATGGAATATTTAGACAAGAGGGAGTTTAAGGTGTTATAAAAAAAATTAATAGCAATATTCATATCTACCGAGTCATATAAGAAAGACGAATCGGTTGCATAAGTAAGCTGATTCAGCAAAGAATAATTTCCTTTGCGAAAGCAACAGCGGGGCTTATTGGCTGATGAGCACGAAATGAAAGGATTACAATTGAGCATTGCAA